TCATGTATCAAAATATGACTTTCTGTTATGAAACAGGACATAATTGTCCTGGTGTCCTCTACAGTGGACATGTATGAAATCGATGTCCTGTTTCATAACAGGAAGTCATATTTTGATTTGAAACCCCATAACATTTTCCTGAGATGTTGATTTATGAGAAACAATTTGAAAATTAATCCCATTTAAATTATAATTACAACATATTATCATATTTCCATAAGGATGTACAATTTTATCAGTAAATTAATGTCAGCCATTTTTAAAAACCAAGGAGAGGGAGTGGTCATGGTGAATCTTCCAAACATTTGCTATCTCTGAAAAGCCCTGAATGTGCTCTGTACAGGACATCCAGACTTAAACCTGTGACATGTGAGGTCTCAGAGAAATTCACTAAAATATAATGTCCACTACAGAGGCAAAAACTCCATAGCTGGGTCTCAGGAGGAGATATATATATATATATATATATATATATATATATATATGTATATGTGTGTGTGTGTGTGTATACAGTATATATATTTATATATTTTTTAATCATTAGGCAATCATAATATTAGTCACATAGTAGTACATTTAAAAAGTAAAATAAAATGAAAGCTTAATGTACTGTTTACTGTGTAAAATAATTTAATACAAAAAAAGATGTTCACATAATATTACTTTTAAAATCCAAAGGACCTTATACCTGGTTTCGGCCACATTTTCTCCTCTAGAGGTGTGTGGATGCAGTCAGGTATATCACTCTTTGCCATATTTATCACTGTTGTGATGGTGAACATCTTCCACATGGCTGGGAATTCAATGGGCCGCTACTTTGCAACAGCTTCTTCTCATCCTGAGGGATGTGCACCAGTAGAGGAGGTTTATGATGCTTTTTGTCCAGTCTGGATCCTCTCCGCAATCCGCTCTTTCCCAAGAGCTTCAATTTTCTAATTTAATGTCCAACACCCTACTGTCACTCATATTCAAAACTGTGCAAAAAAAAATTTTTTTTTTTATTTCTTCTTTTTTTTTTTTTTTTAATTGTTCGTTGATTAACAGACATCACAGCAGCTGGGTTATTCAGTTATTTTAGCTGCTTTAAGAGCTACTGCTGCTGGACATGACGCGGATCTGACACGCATCATATTTTCTCACAACTCTTTACCTTTTCTGACCCACTTCAGCTCTTAAAGTCTCTACTAATGAGCTGATGAGTTCTTACATTTCATCGTCTTCTGTGATTCCAGGCTCATAGGTGAACTCCTTTGGTTGTTTCAGGGTCACCAATGCCCTGCACTTGAAATCTTCTACACTTTCTTCCATTCGTGGCCGTTTAATTGGCCTGAGCTCTGGTGTTTCGAGATCGGAGTAAACTCGAAGTAATGCGCTAAACCTAAACTATCAACCACCCAATCGTCACCTTTACTGCGTCGTTTCAGTTTAGGGAAACTCCTATTAAGCATGACGCTTGAACCGAGACGCTCTTTTTGTGGAGTTTGAATGCACTGGCAGCCCACATCCCTCGACAGAGGCTGGCAGACAAACGCCACGAATGACAGATCAGTAAAGACGAAAACACGTGGGGAATGCATTATTAAAATAAGCAAGCTATCTAGATACACTTGCCTTCACACTTTGGGATGCACCAACCGTGTACACCGACGGAACAGCGGTGTTCTTCAGATACAAGACTTTGGCGAACCCCATTTGGTGCTGGGTTATGCTGGGTATAAAAGATTTTTAAAATCTTCAAAATGCGAGAGACCACAAACATGAGGGAAAAAATCCTAGATTTAACCGTTTTGCTCCTATAGTGTGTGGTGTTTTCGGGGTCCCCGGGTCATCCATGTTTGCCATGAAGATAGTCTTAGATTCTGACGTGGCAATAAAAATAAATAATTACTAGCAGCTACTGAACACCAAGGTTTTTTTTTGGTTCATACCATGGTTTTGATGTCATGGTTCTGCTATAGTTATTTTGTAGTAATACTACAGCAAACATGTGGTAACCATGACTATAGTATAGTAGGTAGGTTTACCCTGGTAGGTTTAGGGTTAGGTGTGGGGGAGGGGTTAGGAATAGGGGTAGGTTTAGGATTAGGCAATCAGATAGCGATTTCAACTAGAGGGGTAATCATTTTGCAGGAGGTCGAAAATGGGCACAACACAGGCAAACCAGCTCAGTGCTTTTCTGCCACCATCTGGATATAGTGCGTGGAGACCCAGAAAAAAGGTTGTGAATTTAGTAAAAAAAATTTCATGTCATTACATTGTGTAGAGGCGATCGAAAATGTGCTGTGATTGGTTAGCTGGGCCAGTGTGTGCTGTGATTGGTTAGCTGGGCCAGTGTGTGCTGTGATTGGTTAGCTGGGCCAGTGTGTGCTGTGATTGGTTAGCTGGGCCAGTGTGTGCTGTGATTGGTTAGCTGGGCCAGTGTGTGCTGTGATTGGTTAGCTGGGCCAGTGTGTGCTGTGATTGGTTAGCTGGGCCAGTGTGTGTTTTGATTGGTTAGCTGGGCCAGTGTGTGTTGTTAAAGCTAGCGTGTCTCTGACATAATGATAACACTCGTTGTCTTCTCTAGTGCAGCTCAACCAGGTCTTGTCCCATTCGTCTGTATTTGTGATATCACAAATCCCGGAAAATATGTGTTGTAGTCACCAGGTCTTGTCCCATTCGTCTGTATTTGTGATATCACAAATCCCGGAAAATATGCGTTGTAGTCCAAACGAGTCGTTCGTTGTAGTTTTTGAAAAGTGATTTCTGTTAAATAAAATATCTCCTTTTAAAGTGGACTTTGAGCTTTGTAACTTTGCAATTCTTTTTTATGCTCAAACAGCAACATTACAGACTAACTAAAGTTGAAAAAGTGAAAAAGCATAATAGGACCCATTTAAGGTATTTCCTTTGTAGAGGACAGGACATGGTTTTTCTAAAAAAAATAAAAATAAAATGACATGAATAGACAAGAAAAGGCAAAAACAATGGGTTTTTTTTAAATCACCAATCAGTTTTTAGGTTTCAGGAATTTTTATAACAAACTTTGC